GAGCCAAACCGGTTAGGACTTCTCATTCTTTATACAGTTGCATCTTCTCTGTGTGCATGTGCCATACCTCCTGTTTGCAGGTTAGTAGTTTTTTAATGGCTTGGGGTCACAGATGAAGCTGTGATGAGAACTGCATCTTGCTGTTACAAGTGTGATTCCCCCATCCCTAAACTTCTGTGAGCTGCTCTGGGTCACAAGTGGCAAGCGATGCTTCTTGCTGATGTCATGTCAGACCTTGTCTTTGCACGTCTTCCTAATCTACTGTCCCCTGTGAGAATGTTCTCAGCATCATCTCCTGGCTGAGTCCACTGCTCCACTCTCTTGTCCACAGGCTTCCCTACTGTCTTTGTCAGTGATGTCTGTGGTTCATTGGGGAATTGTGTTTCACATTGGGCTTTGCTAGGAGTGCCAGTGTGGCATCTTCTAGGAGGAGATCCAGAGCTCTTTTTTTTTTTTTTAATTTTTAAAATAAGAATAAGGTCACAAGTCACTGGCCTGTAATCCCTGCCAGGTTACTGAATTGTCATCAGGATGATTGTAACATGACGGTTCTGGGGATGTGTAGCTGGGTCCGTGGCTTAGAAGCATTTTGTTTCTTTCTTTCTTTTTTTTTTTTTTTTAATATATTTTATTGATTTTTTACAGAGAGGAGGAGAGAGGGATAGAGAGCTATTGTAGAAACGTCGATGAGAGAGAAACATAGACCAGCTGCCTCTTGCACACCCCCTCTTGCATATGCCCGCAACCAATGTACATGCCCTTGACCGGAATCGAACCTGGGACCTTTCAGTCTGCAGACCGATGCTCTACCGCTGAGCCAAACCGGTTTTGGCTTAGAAGCATTTTCTATTTTTTTAGGCCATTGATTAAGGAGAAGTTGAACCAGGGCATCACCCTCATCGTGGACAGATATGCGTTTTCTGGTGTTGCCTTTACCAATGCTAAGGAGGTGAGTGCTGCCCAGCCCAGTGGGACACCACTAGTGACTGTCCAGAGCAGGGGCCATGACATCACACAGCAAGTTCTGTGGTCCTTGTGTTTCACTGTTGGGAATCTGGTCTCATCTAAGGGAAGGGCAAACACCGGGGGGGCTGTAGCTTGTTTCCACATCACACATCCAGAGGTGGTCGTCAGCAGGGCTTTCCATCCCAGCCTTGTATCCAGACTAGATAGTGAGAGCATCTGGTGCTTTGTTTATATTTTCCTGACTTCCTGTCCCAGGAAGAATAGCAGTGACTACACTGACTCCTTTTTCCTGCTTTTTATTTAGAAAGTTTCAAATATGTAACAGCAGAGAAAATGATAAATCACCCAGTACTGTGACCCACCAGATACATCATCATTGGCTTCATAAATGTTTCAGTGTGCATCCTTCAGATAACTTTTTAAAAAAATCTTCACCAGAGGATATTTTTAGAGAGAGGAAGGAAGAAGGGAAAGAAAGAAACATTGATGTGAGAGCAGACCATTGATTGGCTGCCTCCTGCACACCCACCTGGTATTGAGCCAACAACCCAGGTATGACCTGACTGGGAATTGAACCAGCAACATTTCTGTGCAAGGGGCCACATCCAACCAACTGGGCCACACTGGCCAGAGCTCTCCACTTTTGAATGTGCTCACAAAATTAAACCAGAAGGAGGTGCCATGGAAAACTGAAACATTCATGATCTAAAAACTCAAGTCACTACTGGGATCTTCACTTCTTGCTGCCTTAAGAAATGGTAGCTCATTTCCCTTTTTTATGGATTTTAAAACAACACAGACCCATTCAGCTTCTTTATCTGATCATTGGTTTCTTTGCTGCAGAACTTCTCCCTGGATTGGTGCAAGCAACCGGATGTGGGCCTTCCCAAACCAGACCTGGTCGTGTTTCTTCATCTGAAGTTGGCAGAGGCTGTGGAGCGGGGCGGGTTCGGCCGAGAACGCTATGAGGATGGGGCCTTCCAGGAACGGGCACTGCGATGCTTCTACCATCTCATGGAGGACAGGACCTTAAACTGGAAGGTGAGAGTCACCCTGTGCCAGTCACCCTGCACCCACGTGTGGCATCCTCAGGGTTCCAGTGCCAGCTTCTCAAAATGTCGAAATTGGGTGTCTTGTGGGTGGGTTGGTGGACAGTTTGACAGGCACCAGCCCCACAGCAGCAGTCCTCCCTGGTGGGTCCTTTTTAGAGCTGACTGCTCAGCAGGTTCCTGTCTTCTGACCTTGTCATCCAGAACATAAAATCTCTGAGTTACTCCTCAGGTCACCTTTCTGCTTATTGGAAGAGTAATACTTTGTTTTTTGGATTTTTAAAAATATATATTTATTGATTTTTAAAAAAATATGTTTTATTGAATTTTTACAGAGAGGGAGAGGGATAGAGAGCTAGAAATGTCGATGAGAGAGAATCATCAACCAGCTGCATCCTGCACGCCCCCTACCAGGGATGTGCCCGCAACCAATGTACATGCCCTTGACCAGAATTGAACCCAGGACCTTTCAGTCCGCAGGCCGATGCTCTATCCACTGAGCCAAACCAGTTTCGGCTGATTTATTTATTTATTTATTTTTTACAGGGAGGAAGGGAGAGGGATAGAGAGTTAGAAACATCGATGAGAGGGAAACATCGATCAGCTGCCTCCTGCACACCCCCTACTGGGAATGTGCCCGCAACCAAGGGAAATGCCCTTGACCGGACTTGAACCTGGGACCCTTCAGTCCGCAGGTTAACACTCTATCCACTGAGCCACACTGGTCAGGGCTGGAAGAGTAATCCTTTAGCTTGCAGTCTGTGCTTAGGTCCTTGCATCAGAAATCAGATTTTGTCCATTTTGGGGTCAGCCCTCAGTCCACACCCCATTTCAGCTGCTGGGGTCAGAGACTGCCTCCCTCACGCCCCTTGTCCTGCACAGTTCCAGCTCCTGGGTGTTCCTGCATCACTTGTGGGGGGCGTACCTGTCTCCTCACTAGCTTCTGGGTAGGAGACGGCTCCTGACTCTGCTGGCCTGGCCTGGGGTGCTTGAGCCTCGACACCACCCCCATGGCCCGCTCAGCCATCTCCCTGCGCTGGGGTCTCCTTCATCTCTGCGCCCGGCATCGGTGCCCTGGCCTCAGTCCCAGGCATCGGTCTCATTCTTCCTTCCCTGTAGATGAGCTACTGTCCTGCCAAAGCAGAGCCCACCACTGCCATCTCTCAGGCACATCTGAGCGCCTGGGCTCTAGGGCTCATGCGGTGCTGCAGGTGCTACCCCTGGCTTGAGCAAGCCGCTTTTATCCTCTGGTGACCAGGTCCTCTGCTGGTCACATGCTGCATCCATGCAGCTTTGAAGGTCAAGCTGTTGACCCTGTTACTCGGTGTGTGCTTCCCCACCTCCCTCCTAGGAGCCGAGCCTGCTGCTGCGGTGGGCTCGTTTCTCTCCTTCATGTGTGTTCAGATCCATGCGGAGCCACATGGCCTCTCTGGAGTGACCACAAGCCCTTCCTCCCTATGAAGGAGTAGCAACATAGAGCCTCACATGGCTTTCACTTGTACTGGTGGAGTGTCTCTCACTGAACCCTGGAGTCAGTTTCACAGGATTTCAATGATTCTAATTTATAACATTTCAACATCTGCAAGGATCAAGCCAAGAATGTAGAGTGCTAGGAATGAGAAAATAGAAAACTTGTATTTCCTACCTGCCTACACTTAAGCTCATCTCTCCTTCCCCGTTTTTATATTTTGTTTCCCTCAGCCTTAAGAACTTCCTTTTCTTGTAGGGCAGGTCTCCTAGCATAGACTACTCAGCTTTTGTTTATCTGAAAGTTTTTTGTCTTTTTTTTAAGCATTCTCAAGTTTTTAAGCAATAAGATACTTCCGGAAAAGTTGCTAGGACAAAACTTCCCCAGGACCATTTGAAAATAAATGGTTCTAACACCCCTCACACCACCCAGGGTTGCTGTCTGGAAGGTTTTGTATAAGCTGTGCGGCTGGAGCAGTGGCTGGCGAGGTGACCTTTAGGGTGTATTGTGTGGGGTCTCGGGGATCTGGAGGGAGTCATTCTCATTTTTGCCTAGTCAGACTTCATGATTGGATTTTTCTGAGTGCGTCTACACCCCCCAGCTTTTCCAGAATTGGCTGTTCTTGGCCTAGACTTAGATCGATGGTAGGAGAGGGACTTCAGTCCCCAGTCTTCCCATCCCGGTGAAGACCAGTTTCTCCTGGGCTGGCTCCCTGGGTACCAAAGGTTCTCATGCTTCCCATGTGAGGACACAGCATTGAATGAGTGAATTTTGTGGCCTGTGATGTGGGAATGTAGCCTAGCACAGGCATTGCCCTCTCCTCTCCTCAGCCAGACTTGAGGAGAGCTGATGTGTGGGTACCTCATGGACACATGCACTGGGGGAGTAACAGGAAGGAAGACAATCAGGAGGATAGGGTGTTTCTTCTGCATCTGGGATGCAGCAGGTATGTGGGTCAGCTTTGTCCCAAGGACACAAGCGAAGCCGGCCCAGCCCTGTCTGAAATCCACATGCTCACCAAGAACGGTGAAGAGCATTAACCATCCTTTTTCTCCTGACATCCCATGGGAATAGATGGTTGATGCTTCCAAAAGCATTGAAGACGTCCACAAGGAGATCTGTGCACTCTCTGAGGATATCATCCAGACCGTAGCACGGAGGCCGCTGGGGAAGCTGTGGACGTAAATGTGGAGGGATTATCCTCTTCCCTGGGTCCTGTCAGGCGGGAGCCCTGTGAAAGGCTTGATGTGCGGAGCGTTCACATTGTACAACACGGCGGCTATGCACAAGCTGACAAGCAGAGCTACAATGGGCCTCTCGAAAGGCCTGGACACAGGAACTTCGTGGTATGTCACTTGGCCTTCCTCTGCCCTCTCTCACCCTGATGATGGTAAATTATTGCATTTTACTGAAACTTAACGATAACCATATCCAAGCAGGTACAAGATAATTGATACGGTAATCAGTTTGAAATCTGAATTTTTTAATTTATTATATTTATACCACTTTTGTTAGCCTTTTAAATGACTGTTTTCAGATCTACTGAATTTATCCAAAGGCACCAAGATTCCTAAGTAGTTTCAACATTTTTGTTCCTTTTTAAGTTCCTCTAGAATGATGCTCCTCAGATAAGTGTAACTTTTTTTTCTTCGTCTTTCTTTCTACATTAGCTTCTCCAATGCTTTGTTGTAATAATAATGTTTTCTTTTTCTTTTAAAGCTTTCTTTAGTTCTGTTCTTGAAGGCCTATGTAGGTATTTTCTTTTTCCTGTGCATTCATAAGTCCAATGTCCAAATTCCAAGCATTTCTGACATCTTACATGTTGCTTATTTGCTTCAGCTTGTCTCCGGGCTATCTGAAATCTGAATTTCTTACAGGCACGAATAAAAATTACTTTGAAAGTATGTTGTCAAAGGCCTTCTCTCCTTAGAGTCCTTCCGAGTGGGAGGGCCTTACGCTGGCCCAGTAGGGCTTCTCTGGACCACCCCCACTGGTCTGGCCTCGCATGGTCTGGCTGGCTGTCTTGATGTGTGATGTCCCATTTCATCTGAACACAGATAGTACCTTTTTTTATAAAAAATTTTTTTTTATTGATTTTAGAGAAGGGAAAGGGAATCATTGAGTGACTGCCTCCTTCAAGCCCCCTGCTGGGGATTGAACCTACAATCCCAGCATTTGCCCTTGACTAGACTCAAACTCGAGACCTTTCATTCCATAGGCTGATGTCTATTCACTGAGAAAAACCAGCTAGGGCCACCTGATTCTTTTGTTGTTCTGCTGTGGTCCTAAGTGCCAGGAATATGACTTCATTCAGTTACATCTTGAAGTGCTCTAACGTATGATTCCTTGACCCTTCCTAGGAGAATCTGCCAGGTGCTGCACAGGGACTCCCTCTGTACAGATAGCACTGTGGGGTTCAATGCCCTTCTGAAGCCAGGACACTGGATTCTAGGCAAAACAAAACAGTGTGGTACTTGCTTAACCCCTGAGTTATATAAGTGGTCACCAGCCGTTCAGACCAGACTGAGGCAGAACCTACAGATGGCCAGGTCTAGCACAGCGGCAGCAGCCAGACATCAGCTCCCCCAAACTAGGCAAGGTCCATGCTTTTTTGGGCTCCACAGATAAGGCTCTCTTTAATGCCCATGTGGACTTGGGCAGGATGTACCTAGGCTGCCTGGCCCTCTGTCCTGGTCCCTCCATATCACTTTGAAGACACAAGGCACAGCAGATGGACGACGAGCTGTATTCAGTTCTGGGGTGTGGTTCTGGTATCTGCTCCCAGGGGTTTCAAGTTGCTAGCTATAGCCCTGCTGATGGGAGCAGGTTGCCCTTGGGCATCAGCACACCCACCAGACCACACTGTACAAGGTGAGGTCAGAATTCCAGGAGTCACAGAGTCAATTGTTTTCATTAACACGTTAAGTGCCAAGTTAGTCACCAGTGACGGACACTATACTTTCTGTCCGGAAGACAAAACAGGCTGGGCACCTAACATGTTAAGACAGAGTCGCTGGGTCCCCTACTGGGACACTCCTCTCGTTCGCCTGCCTGGTTGACTTCTTACATAACCCGGTCCCATCTAGAATAAGGAAACTGGGTTGATTTCTTCAGACCTGAACCAGTAGCTCCCCTGCCTTCGTGAACACATCAGCATCAGGCTGGCACTCACGGAGAGATCATGGCTTTCAGGGAGGGTTGGTGTTGGCAGTGGGTATGGGTGAGATTAAAATAGAGGTAAGTGGGTGAGGCCAGCACAGGCTGGGGAGGGCTGGAAACTGGACTAGAACTTTCTCTGCCCAGGGTCAGGATGTTAGGGTGAAGTGGAAGTTTCAGTAGAGACCATGGGGTCAGAGATGAGCTGGCTGAGAGAGGCCCGAGCTGAACAAGAGTCCCACAGGTGGTAGGCAGGCAGTGGAGCTAGGCGAAGGGAGAAATGGGCTGACCTCCAAATCAAGGCCACTTAAACCTTCAATAAATGCAGCACTCATTGTCAAACATCCTGGCCAGGGTTGTCGCAGCAGGTTTAGCTGAGGGGCTGTTTGCCTCCCAGCATCCTAAAGAAGCCTTTGGGGCATTGATAGAATAAAGGCCTCCAAGAACATCTGCATTCTCAACCCTACAACCTGTGAAGAGCACCTCTGTCTCAAGGTCTCTAAAGGCAGAGGGACTTTGTGACACAGGCCATCCTATTATAGATTGTTCAGAAGGGTCTCCAACGGAGGAAGCAGGAGAGGCCAAGCCAGAGGGGTGTGCAACGGCATTTTCACTGAGGGTGGAGGGCAGCTTCTAGAAGCTGGACAAGGCAAGGAAACGCCCCTCCTGCTGACATTGTTTGACCTCTGCCCTCAGGATCCTGAGTGTCTGTTGTTTGAAGCCACTGGGCAAGATTTGTTCCAACAGATGTTAGTAGAGGCCATGACTCTGGTTCCTGGGCCACCTCTCCTGGGGACCAGCAGTGCTTCCTGCTTTCTTGTCTGGCATTGGTCTCCTTGCACCTAAACAGAGGATGGGTGGCAGGAAGCAGGGAGCCAAGTAGGCCAGTCACCCCTGCATTGTCCAGCTAGGACATCTTGGGCCTAGGCCAGTAGTCCCAGCTCACCAGAGGGACATCTAACTAGGGTAACCACTCTTGCTGAAGAATGGGTTATTGTGTGTTTTCCTAAACCAAATTTCCTCATGCTCTTTGCTTTAGGATCACAGGAGGCATGTCACAGCTAGCAGAGCCTTGTCAGGTGAGGTCCGTCCGTCTGCCTAGTGTGGGGGAGATGAGCTTGCCATGAGTCCACAAATCCTCACTGAGACCCATGGACATGAGTTCATTCTTGTCCCCATCACTACAACTCTAACTTGAGGAAAGGTCAAGACAGAGACAATAGGCTTTGTTTTCTACTGAAACTGTTATTTGCCATGAACTGCAAACTATACTAAGAATGGACAACACTCTTCAGTAAGCCTTCTCAAATCACTAAGACAAAGCTCCCCTTTGGTCAGGTTGTCACCCACTTCCACCGTATGCACCACAGTGGGGGCTGCAGCAAGACCCCCTGGCCCAGCAGACAGGGTGGCACATTTCCAAGATGCAGCAGAAGGAATGGAGACCGCCCAGCCTTCCTCCTTCCCTGGGGAAGGAAGGAGAGACAAGAGCAAATTAACTTATGTCGACGATACTCAGGGGCTGGGTGTTCTCTGCTATCAGGTGGGCTCCCACCCGCTGTCCAAATTGCAGATGCCGAGGGAGCAAGGAAGGCTCCCGGGAAGAAGGAGCCGCTTCCCTGAACTCCCCAGGTGTCTGTTGGCAGGTCCCACGGAGGCTACTCTTCAGGACTCGAAGCCTGCATGGGAGCCATGCTCTCTGGGCCCAGCCAGGGTTCAGGACTGCAGGTGCTGCTGTCAGTCAGATCTGGCAATGTCTCCAAGTGACGTGATGAGCCTGTCTTGCATCATAAGCAGGGCTTCATTCTTTGGCCCCAAACCATCTGAAGCCTTGGTACCGGGAGGGCAGGTCTGTGGTGCCCTTAGCCTCTGCCCGCCAGGTTTGCTGTGCCCCCATGTCCCGCATGGGCCCAAGGATCACAGACCAGGGCAGCTCCACACTCACCCACCACCCATTGCCCACCCAGGGAAAGCCAGTGCAACAAGCAAGCAGCAGCCCGTGGGTATCTCAAAATGCTGGAACCAAAAGGTAAGGAAAGTGAACCCATTTGGGCTCTACCTATAGCTCTTTCCTGGCAAGTCACATGTACAGTCGTCTCTGGTTTGCATCATGCCCCACCTCTCTCCATTTCTCTCTCCAAAGCTGAGAGATGCCAGGTGGTCACTCCTTCTGTCTCCCACTACGCAGCCTGGTAGAGCCATGAGCAGGGCTGCAGGTGAAGGGCATGTAGGCCCAGTCCCAGGGCTTCTCATTTGGTCTTCAGTCTTCTTGGACTCAGAACAGGCCCAACAGAAATGCATGTCTGTGTCGAGTAGCTTCAAACGGGACTTTAATTCCAAAGAAAACCTAGAACTGAGAACCTGAAGGAAGTAGGACGAAGGTGCCGTGAACACTCAAGCCCCGCTGCTGTTCTGCTCCCTGCAATTCCTGGCTCTCCAGCAGCCCAGTGTCTGGGCCGAGCAGTCCCACTCCTGTAGTGAGGCCTTGAGCATAGTGCAGTCCCCCATGGAGGGCAGAGCGGCCGGGACATGGGCGGTGGGCAGGCGGGCAAAATGGATGAAAATGCGGTGGCACCAAGCGCCCTGAGGCCAGACTGGGCTCTCAAAGGCACCCCCAGCAAGGGCCAGTCGAGATGTCCCCCAACTTTAGGATTTTCAAAGGGACAAGATTTCAAAGTCCTCATCTTCTGAGTCAAAGAATCTTTCTAGTCGCTCTACATCAGAAGAATCTAAAAGAAATGAGACAAAACCCCATCAGACACCTGCATGAGTTACTCTGAACGTGAGGGTGAGACAAGCAGCTATGTGTGCACCAACACCTGCTGGCCTGCTTGTGCAGGAGCCCTGCGTCCAACGAGCAAGGGCATTTGCTCAGGTGGCAGGCGGCAAGAGGACCTCAGGACTCTAGCCAGCAGAGGTTGTAGCCTTCAGATCTTAATTGGCTAGGGGTCTCTCTGGCAGGGAAAGGAGCAAGAAAGGGATCTCAGAAACTTACCAGGAGTAGGAGCAGACACATTGCTCACCAGAGCCCAGGGGTACATGACGGGGCTGAGGGCAAGGGCCACCAGTCCCAAGAGGAGTGCCAACCCTGAACCATCTGTCCTGAGTCTCAATGCCAACACTCTGACCCCCATGTGGTTCTGTCAGGCAGCAGGCTCCATCGTCATGGCTCCATTCTCTTCCTCAGTGATCTTCACAGAGATGGACAGGTGGCTCCATCACTATCCTCAATGATTTTCACAGAGACAAGGGTCAGCTGGCTCCATCCTCCTCCTCCTCAGTGATCTTCACGGAAATGGGACAGCTGGCTCCATCCTCCTCAATGATCTTCACAGAAACGGGGGACAGCAGGCTCCATCATCTTTGTCCTCAGTGACCTTCAATACATAGTTCCACAGGCTCATCGCAGTCCTCACATTGGTCTTCCCGGAAACAGATGGAGGTGTGAACTGGATGTGCTCACAGCCTCAATGCCAAGTCTCCGTTTTCTGTGTGCCACATGCTCAGTACAGTTGGAGGGAGTTGAGGGTCTGTTCGAGGGAGAAGGCCCCTGGGCACAGAATCATGGAGTAGTGGGACGCAAAGCCTGCCTGCAGCCATGGTCAAACAGAGCAGGACTGACTCACACGATGGATTGCATGGAGAGCTCAAATCATTACAAAAAGCCCAGCATATTCTGGATCATACAGAACCCAGAACCTGTGAGGAACACTCCCAGATCCATGTGCACAGGGCCAGATGACTGCATGTGGGGTAAAGATGAGGGCCAGACTGCTGCTGCTACACTCGGCGAGAGGAGGGGGATACTCAGCAGTGTCTCTGGTCCCTTGTTGCACATATAAATCACCAAGTGACTGAATCTAGGGTTCATAGAAATCTTGTTATTGATTTTTTAAAAGGTAGATTAATTGATTGGTTGTTCCACTTATTTATGCATTCATTGGTTGATTTTTATATGTGCCCTGACTGGAGTGGATCAAACTCGCAACCTTGGTCTATTGGGACGATGCTCTAACCAACTAAACTACCTGGCCAGGGCCCACACAAATCTTGAAGGTCAAAAGTAATGGGACCTGGGGAAAAGCTAGGAGGGGAGGACAGGAGCATCACACAGAACATATCCGAGCAACAAAAAGACAGCACCCATGTCCACTTGAGATGTGGCCCTGTGGTCTCGGACTCACCTAAGGACAGGTTCAGGACATCAGGGCAGGCCAGGTGGGAAGGCTGCTGCTCCACCAGCTCAAACATGGGCAGGGCACCTCCAAGCAGTGACAACTGTTAGCAAGACACAGCCATTAGAGGCAGTGTACGGGGGCATAGTATCTCCCCCATCCCATCCCCCCGGCCCCCGCTCCCCAATCACCACTGTGATCAGGGGAACACTGACAAGAGCAGACTGAGACTCTTAACCCTTGGCTGAGATGGGAATCCAACAAGGTGCCTGCCTACCCATCCTATGGAAACAGCCCTGGAGGCAAAAACCCTATCCCAACACTCTTGTCAGCATGAGGCTGATGAACACGAGGCTTTAGAAACCCCATTCTAAAGTTCCCAAACAATGTCAGCCCCCCATCCTCTAATCACAATGAGACGATGCCAGAAGCAGCAACCATACGAGGGCCACAGGACGCTTCACAGTGGCGCACGGGTGGAGGAATGAGGAATAACTAGGGAAGCGGGTGACGAGCCAGAAACCCAACCACACAGACAGCGGAGTTGCTACCAACCCCCTTTGAAAATGCGCACGCGCGTACACACACACACACACACATTTGTTTATTTCTGAGAGGAAGGGAGAAGGAGAGAGAAAAATATCAATGATGAGAGGAAAATCATTGATCGGCTGCCTCCTGCACAGCCCCCATTGGGGACCAAGCCTGAAAGCCAGGCATGTGTCCTGACCAGAAATTAAACTGTGACCTCCTGGTTCACAGGGTGACGATTAACCATGGAGCCACACCCGCCATGCACTACCAACCTTTTTTACTTGCTGGCACCAGTCATTGAAGTCATCCTCAGTCTTACAGAAAAAGCCCTGAAAGGAAAAACAATGGTAAGCAGAAAGCAGCATAAGTGGGCACCAGGTTGAACTTGGCCACATAAGAGGCCAGATTTCCATTCCCAGTGCCACTGCAGGGACCCTGGGGCACCTCCCACCATCCTCACTTCTCTAGCCTCTGCCCCTCTCCATGGTCTCCATCCATGTCTTGACTCTTTGCCCTCTGCCCTGACTGTCCCAGATCATGCAGATTTTGTGTGATTTTTAAGGCCTTAGAATGAAGCAGGTATAATTACATGGCAGAGCATAGAGTCTCTTCCCCTATAACCCTGAACAGGGGCTAGGCTGGTGGGTTTGAGACTTGGCCTCAACCTGCATCTCCTAAGTGGCTCAGCAGCAAAGGCCACGCAGGACCCAAGTGCCCATAAGCTCCCACATTCACAGGGGACAATGGGATGGAGTAGGGAACGTACCACAGCAATGGATGGGTCTAACTCCCCGATGCTCATCCTGCTCGGGGGGTGCTGGCAGTGGAAACTTTCATCTGGGATCAAGAAGCTGTCAGTGAACTCCACTGCTGGCTGTGTTGTGTGGGGGTCCAGGTAGATGAGCTCCTTACCTGGCAAGACAACATCAAAGTCAGCACAGAGGGAGCCAGCGGGGGTCCTATTTCAGACCTGCCACACCACAACCATCGAATGGATGAGCCAAGTTGGGAAAGACAGCAGGTAGATGGGGTGGGGTCATGCTGCTTTTCTACTGGTGGCCCTGGGTCAAGCCACCTCTAGGTGTGGGGGGCCAGCACTGTTCCACGGGACTGCCCTAAAGATCACTCCCCCTCATCATCCGGCCAACTGGGGCATCACACGGAACCCCCCAACTCACCCACATAGCCGATGAAGTAGTGGGCACTGTTGGGCTTCCCTCCAATTACTCCGAGGGACTGAGGCATCATGAAACAGCCCTGCAAAAGGGAGGAAAGGTGGGTTGCTGAGCAGGTGCAAGCAGGAGGCCCACACCCCTGAACAGGAGGCCCAAGGAGGATAATGAACCTCCAAGAGCTTAGTCAGGAAGGAGTTCAAGAAACACGTGCTTGCCGAAACCGGTTTTGCTCAGTGGATAGAACGTCGGCCTGCGGACTGAAGGGTCCCAGGTTCGATTCCGGTCAAGGGCATGTACCTTGGTTGTGGGCATATCCGCAGTGGGAGGTGTGCAGGAGGCAGCTGATCGATGTTTCTCTCTCATCGATGTTTCTAACTATCCCTCCCCTTTCTTCTCTGTAAAAAAATAAAAAAATATATATATATTTTAAAAATCAGTAAACTATTAAAAAAAATTCCTCTCTAAGAAACTTCACTGAGTATGGTCCTCCTGACTTCAGGATCCTGGTGACACACCCTGATTTAAAAAAAAAAAAAAGAAAGAAAGAAAGAAACACGTGCTGTGGCTCAGGAGCTCGGTGCCGGGGACGGGCCTGAGGAAGGTGAACATGCGGGCCCCAGGAGGAGGGCAGGCACGAGTCAGCGGGTGTCAAAAAAAGGCACCCAGGCATGTAGAGGAGACCTGCATACCAAGGCTGGGTGGAGACCGGAGGCCACGGGGACCACCAAGTAAGTAGGAGGAGCCAGGCTAGGGAAGAGCACAGGCGCCACTGGGAAGGGCAGCCGGGCTGGTCACAGGGAGGTCAGAGGGCCGGAGGATAGGGCCAAGATGGTGACACAGAAGGGTTTTAATGCAAAACAGTATTTCAATCCCCCCACTGGTCCGTGAGAAGACAGGTCCAACATAGACTCACCTTCAGTGTCTCCACGTAGGCCTCATTGATGTCTGTGAGCCCCAGGCGCAGGGGGATGAGAAGCACCAGGGGTCTCCACAGTGATGACCTGTTGGTGACCTCGGCTCCCACAGGGAGTCCATTACAGTGCCCTTCAGAATCTGCAGGAAACGCAGTGGCCTCCGCACATGGAAGGCTGCTCCTGCATAACCTTCCTGAAAAATGGAGATGTGCTCTTATGGGCTAAGTAGGTACAAGTTCATCCAAAAGAAACAGGTATGTAAACAGAATACAAAACACAACTCAAACTTGAGAAATAAAGTGTAAGACTAACCCTGCTGCACACAGAGAAAAAAAAAAAAACCTAACATTTTCTGTGTTCAATTAAACTTTTTTTTAAAATATATTTTTATTGATTTTTTACAGAGAGGAAGGGAGAGAGATAGAGAGCCAGAAACGTCGATGAGAGAGAAACACCGACCAGCTGCCACTTGCACACCCTCTACCGGGGATGTGCCCATAACCAACGTACATGCCCCTGACTGGAATCGAACCTGGGACCTTTCAGTCCGCAGACCGACGCTCTACCGTTGAGCCAAACCGGTTTCGGCTCAAACATTTTTATTGTGAAATAAAGCATAAACAGAAAATAGTGCAAGAACACATCTGTGTACACCTTAAGAGAGTCACCCTTAAACAGGCACCATTAGCCAGCAGCCTGGCCAACAGAGCACTGACCAGGTCCCCAAACTTCTGTGACCCCATCCCCAGCAAGAACAACAAGGAACAACTACTCTCCTTTTAAACGTTTAGGCAACTTCTAAGTGCACCAGCCAACTTTCAACAAATACATGAATGAGGAGGTTTGGTGGCAAGAAGAGACAGCAGCTCTAGCCTGCAGGCACAGAGCTCCAATTTTTGGAATTTCCAAGCCAGTTTGGCTCAGCAGATAAAGCACTGGCCCGCAGACTGAAGGGTCCTGGGTTTGATTCCTGGTCAAAGACATGTACCTCAGTTGCAGGCTCAATCCCCAACATCCTTTTTCACCCTGCGGGAGGCAACCAATTGACATGTTTCTCTCACATAGATGTTTCTCTCTCTGTCTCCCGCTCCCTTCCACTCCCTCTAAAAAGTCAATGAAAATATATTGAGTATTAACAACAACAAAAAGAAACAGATAATCCAGTGGCCTTGAGCACACCCAGCACTCTTAGGGGTGTCGAACTCAATCAGAGAAGGGGCCAAAATCTAAAATCCAGCCTAAATCGCGGGCCGAATGGTTTACTGAACAGTCATAAACTGTCATTGTGATGGAAACGCAGCAGAGTGCAGTGATGACAGCGCGGTGCGGGCCACATTGCAAGGCCTGGCGGGACGGATTTGGCCCGCAGGCCTTGTGTTTGACACATGTGGTTTAGTTTCTAAACACCTTTCCTGCTGAAAGGAACCAGGATCTAGTTAATGCCAGAAAGGGGATGACAGGAACCAACAAAAGACAGAACCACCTGCAGGGGTGCCCACCAATCAAATCCGGGACAATGATTGATATTCAAAATGGACAACACATTGAATTAAAAAACAGTCCATGAATGTACTGACCCTAAAAGTTCTTCAAATATAAATAAGGTGGTGGAGAGAAGAAAAGAGGGCTCTTTCCCAGAATGCCAACCAACCTGGGAGGAAAGACTGACTGCCTTAGAGAAATCACCATGTATTATTCCCAGACCACCCATTAGTCACAGGGAAAGACTGCCCTCACCAGGTGACCAGGAAGTATCACTGACCAGGAGCAGCCTCCTGCTGTGATGCTGGGACACAGCCACCAGGTAGTGCTCTTGGTCAAGATGTTTAGTCCGAATGTAACAGTGAGGAAACAATAGATGGAGTGTGGGAAATTCTACTGAGCTGGCCTTCAAAAACATCAATGCTGTGAAGAACAAGGAGGGGGGGAGTACTTTCTGGATTAAGAGTCTGAAACGGCCTGGCTCCAGGATCACAGGAGGTTCCAAAGGTTGACAGGGAGGCCAGCAGTTGGGAAGCAGCAGCTCATCTGTGAAGTACCTACTAGCAAAGGACTGGTATCCAAAGTAAATGGTTGGAAAAAAGAAAAGACTGGGAGTGAGATTTTTCTTTTTTTTGGAGGCAGAGGAGATTTTATCTTTCTTCTTTAACTCTGGCTAAATTTTCTGTGATTTTAAGAAATATAAACTTGGCCTGCTGGTACATCTCACTGCAGGCACAGTGCTCTGACCTTAGGAATTTCCTAAATGACTAGAGCAAACTGGTGTTTTGTCATGTTAACGAGACTTGTGAAATTCCAAGGGTGGGGGCTGCCACGGGAACGGGGAACGAACCCAGATCAAGGCTGAACTTTCCAGAGAGGAGCTGAAGGGAGCTCCATCAGCAAGGAGCAATGACTTCATCTGTGTAATGCAGCCTCCATAAACACCCAGGAGGGGGTTCAGAGAGATTCTGGATTGGTGGACCAGTAGAGATGCTGGGAGAGTGGCACCTGGAGAGGGCAGGGAAGCTCCTCCATCTTGCTGTTCTTGATTCATATCCTTTCAAATAAACTCATGATCTATAACATGTCTCTCTGAGTTTTTTGAGCCGCTATAGCAAATAATCCAACCGAGGGGGTGGTGGAAACCTCCAACTTATAGTGTTGGTCAGAAGCATCGGTGACACCTGGACTTGAGATACTGGCCTCTTAGGTGAGGGGGAAGAGGTACAATCTTGGAAGACTGAGGCCTTAACTTGTGGGGTCTGACACCACCTCCAGGTAGATGGTGTCAGAACTGGGATGAATTGTAGGAAACTCAGTTGGTGTCAATTGCTTGGTGGGTGGGTGATACATATCAGAACCAGTGTATCTTAGCTTCTAATTTCTAAACAGAGATCTCCTGATTTCTTCCCCTCCCCCTTGCAGTAGTTGTCTGGTGATCTGCATGTTGTTCAAAAGGGCCAGTTCAGGAAGTTATTAGTTCTACCCTTTCTTCCTTAAAATCATCAATCACTGCATTTGGTGTCATCATACCACTCTTTGGGGGTTTCTTCCGACAATTTTGTTCTTTTCCAACTTAATTTTCACTTTTTATTCTCTGAACACCAGTATGAAGATGCAGAATTCTGCTATGTAGTCTGTTAACTTTGACCCAAAAGCTAAGATAGAGGTTTAAACTTCAAGGTAGTAGAGTTTTGTTTTTTTCCCTATTTATTCTGCATTAGTTTATATAAACGTTTAAAAGAGGTATGCTCTATTACCAGAACCTAGTCTTTGACACATATCTGTTATACTCTTACTGTTATGGTTTTCTGTAACTTAGCTTTTATTTATTTGACCTGACATGGTCTCTGTATTAGCATAAGTTTTACTTCCCTGCGTTTGAGATTATGCTTTGTGATGAGAACATTCTCTTGCTGATTTGATTTCTAATACCAGAACACCAGACACATGAATTGGCTCAGGATGGGGCAGAGCCTATCACAGCTGCACCCTGGGACTTAGAGCCTACCTGTGGCCTGTTATGTCATAAGTATCCTGTTAATAAATGGGTTTTCCTTTGTCTCTGCAACCCATTTATAGTTTTCTAGTGCTCTCCTAACATTTTTTAATCTTTTTAAGTCCTGTTTTTTGTCTTTTGATCAATGACAACTAAACAATATATATTTGCCTTCCTGACCTCCTGAACCCAGGTCTTTCAGAATTCTGAACATTTTCTGATGTTTGGTGGCAGGAAGATGAGGCTGTAATACCAGTGAACAGCCTTTCTTCTCAAGATTATTATTTAGACGCTTATAAAAGTTTCTCTTCATTTTTGCAATTTGGAAATGTCACCAGAAGCATGCATATTTTCCATATTCTTTTTTTTTCTTTTTCTTTTTTTACAGAGAGGAAGAGAGAGGGATAGAGAGTTAGAAACATCGATGAGAGAGAATCATCGATTAGCTGCCTCTTACACACCCCCTACTGGGGATGTGCCCGCAACCAAGGTATGTGCCCTTGACCGGAATCGAACCCGGGACCTTTCAGTCCGCAGGCCGACGCTCTATCCATTGAGCCAAACCGGTTTCGGCATGATTTTAAAAATTTGAAGTTAACTCTAAAGTCTCAACTCTTTTTTTTTTAAAAATGTATTGATTTTTAGAGAGAGAAGAAGGGAGAGGGATAGAGAAATAGAAATATCGATGAGAGAGGAACATCATCGATCGGCTGCCTCCTACACACCCCTTACAGGGGATCAAGCCTGCAACCCGGGCATGTGCCATGGCCAGGAATCGAACCAGCAACTTCTTGGTTCCTAGATTGAGACTCAACTGCTAAGCCACACCAGCCAGGCTAAAGGCTCAACTCTTCTTCCAGCTCCAATTCCTTTACTCTCACCCTGTCCTTCTCTGCTGCCATTCCAACCTATTTCTATTTTGCTCTATTTCTATTTCTGCCATCGGATTATCTGCCCCACAGCTTTCTGACTATTCTCGTATTAATCGGTTTTCTCCTATGTCACCTGTAATCACTGCCATGTTTTCCAATCTATTTCTCCCTCAGTTCCATGACTTCCACAATCCACTGTGCTTACAAAGGTGTGACTCTTACCAACTTTAACACAGTCAGGGCCTGTTCTGGATGTCCCAGTGGGCCATCAGGGAGTGGGTGGGCAGGGAAACCTCAGGAACAAAGTGTCCCCTAACCTGACACATTTCCCAAAAATTCTGAGCAGGAACATTGTAAGCAACCTCTATCACTTGGAGAGGGGCTTATGAGATTTCTGACATCAATGGGCTTTTCTTAGAAACTGGGCACTTTGTTTTTCCACTTTCTGCTTTGCTGAACCCAAGCCTCCCTCCCCAGCCTGCTACCCTGGGTGACTCAGCAACGTACCAGGAAAGCAGCTGACCTGTCTCTATGAAGCCTGAGCTCTCAAAGCCCAAAGGAATCAGGATGAGCCATTAGAATCACCTCCCCACACCCCGCACCTCATTACACTGAGTGTTCAGTCTCAGTGTTCTTGTTGGTTGTGTTCTGATGCTCTTCTTCCTAAATTTGGGTACACATCCTCCACTTGTTCCTGTGCTGTGCACTCATAACTCCTGACCAAAAGAAGGGGAGGATGAAGCAGTGAGACTAGGCCCTGAACTTGGCCAAGTGGCCACACACGTAACACTTGAGAGCCTGTTAACAATGCAGGTCAGACTCTGCCCAGAACCAGATCCACAAGCTCCTGGGATAAGCCTGGGTTCACATCTCATCACAGTTTCAGCTCGGCTGCTCTGAATGACCAAGACTCCCAGAAGAGACTGGAGAGGGCCCTCACAGCATCACCCCCTCTCCCAAAGACAGATGGGGGTTCTGGAAAGCCACTTGTCCCCCGTCTCTTCCTGGCCACTGTCCTAGAGCAACCAGTCTGTAGCCAGAAGCCAGGGGTTGGACCAGTGACTGGGTTAGACCCTGAGGAAGGTAAAGAACAATCCCCCAAAAGAAATTAAGGTGTAATGGAGCGCTGAGCAGCCAGACAATAAGTTATAACTGGGCACTATTTCTCCACTTTCTGCTTTGCTGAACCCAAACTTCCCTACCCATTTTCACTGACAGGAGAAAATGCTTATGATCCTATGTATTTTTAAAAACAAATAAACAAACATCCCACCAGAACCAATTATGCTTACATGTCAATATGAGCTATTTCTGAGAGGTAAAATCAAGTGATCCCCCCACTCTTCTTTGCACATTTCCTAAGTTTTCAATGTCTCAGAAAAATTTCAGGAAATGGAATATGGAGAAAAGGGAGGAGGAACTATACACCCTTCTGCTATGGTTCAAAGTTCATCACCTCTCAGGGGAACAGAACTATTAAGGGATGAGGTATTTGCCAGAGTGTTCAGAGCTACAGAAACCAGTGTTGCTTTTTATTAATAAGTCACACCCCCGGCTCCCCAATCCTATGTTGACAGTGTCCCGGAATGGGCACATTGCCTGGCAGGGAAGCAATACCCCTGTGAGCTGATAGGAACACTTGTGAACATGCTCTAGACCGGCAGTCATGTGTGCAAGACCTGCTTCTAAACATCCACTTTGACCTGCAAATCTACATACTTGAAAGAATATAGCTCAAAGTGCTCTCTCATTCATAAAATTGGATTCAAGGCAACAATCTACATGTGGAACTTCAATAAAATTGGGGTTGAGGCTGCTTTGGGAAATTCATTGAGGAATCAGTACTGCTGAGAGAAAACTTAAGTAGGCCTTAAATAAAACAGAGCCCTATCAGCTTGGGTGCATAATAAAATGTAAACCGTGAAGTCAAAACTCGCTCATGACAAGCTATTTGCTAAACTGAGAACTCCTTCTGCTCTAGTCCAAACTTGTGTGCGCCTGATTCTGATTCCCGAGAATCCTCCCAGAAAGGGGCGGAGCTATGTCCCTGCTTTGTGTTACATCTAGGCCTGAGAGGGTGGAGTTAGAAAATCAGTTGTTCCAGCCTTCCTTGGCGGTGCATTATGCACATGAACACCTGCACAAATGCAGCTTAACCCAGCACACCTTAATGGCACAAAAGCCACGGGGGTCCTAAGTAACCCAGCTCTAGAGAAAATCCAGACCCTACTCCTTAGCCTGGTCTTCTCTGTAAGGAAACTTGGGGTCCCCTGGCCTCTGTTTAGGATGTCTAGCTACTGTGCAGGACTCATAGTCACCACCCTCAGGCGAGGCCCCCGTTTGCCCGGGAGGAATAAGTGCTCAGCTACTGCTAGCCAAGACCCGTCAGTCCCAACCCTGCTTTGTTGTCACTTACTGATATCCTCCATCACCACCGTGTTGTCCATTGCTATGTGGACAGCCAGGGCGCTCCATGTGTCGAAGATAGCAAGTTTCCTATCAGAAAGGGGGAGGACACGCCAGTAAGCTTTCATAATTCAAAGATGGTTCAGCTCTGCAGGACACTAAGGGAACAGTGTTTCTCACAGGAGAAAAGCCAAGACTCAGAGATGTCAGTGCCACAGGCATGAATAAAGCTGAAGCCAGAACCTGTTTCTTCCTCCCAGGGTCCAGCGCTCCTTCCATGACCCCCAGCTGCCCTTTGCAGAGAGGAAGTTCCTGCACAGGAGCTTCTTAGCGATGTCATGTCCTGACCTAGTTGCCATGTGGAGGTGGGAACTAGATCATGAGCCAGGAGTCAGATACTGCAGGCTTTGCCAGCCCTGCTCCCTTCAATTCCACCCCAGATGTGCTGAGCTGAGGTTCCCGAATGTAAATGACTGAGGAATGGTGGCCACAGGATTCTGGCTCTGGAATTAATGCAGACTGCCACCAGAAGTATAATGGGGGTGTGGGAGGCATCTGACTTACTCTCAAGTGCAGTGGAGGCGGGCTCCCATGTGAGAGGACCTAATGGGTCTGGGGACACAGGTGGAGGGTTGGGGTATAGGGCTGTCCACACAGAGTCCCTCTTGGGGGAAAGGCCAGATAGGAATCCAAGAGAGCACCTGCAGTTGCTGCACCAGCCACCTTGCTCCAGTGCCGAGGGCCAGGAGCTGTGCTGAGGAAGCAATGACATGTGAGACAAAGCCCCTAGAGAGGCTGACACAGGGGGGGAGGGGACAGCAAGAAAGACGTAATCCTATGAGGTAGTAAGTGCCCTAAAAAACAAAGCAGGGCCCGGAGGGGCACGACCAGTTCAGTGCAGGAAGGCCCTGATGCAAAGGTTACAGCATGTGCAAAGAGCCTGAGGTGGTGTGTCCTCTGAGAAGCAAAAAGTGCCATGTGCCAGGGAGGAGCACAGGGCAGCCAGGCATGCACCTGCAGCTTTCCTGCATTCACTGGGAAGCCTGGGATGTGCTGAGCAGAGGAGGGATGGGTGGCTGACTTATAAATGTGAAGATGACTTCTGCTGTTATTTGAAAAGAGACTCCAGAATGGCAGAGAGAAGAAAGACCAACAAGAAGGCAAGAACCAGGGCTTGGACCAGAGTGCAGACAGTGAAGCAAGACACACTGGTCAGTTAGGGCACGCTGGATGGGTGTCTTGAGAGAAAGAGCCAAGTATAATCTCAGTATCTGGCCTGAGTGCCAGGAAGGAGGGTTGCCCTCAGTGAAAGAGAAGCAGGCAGGGTAGGAGAAGGTTCAGCTTAGGGTTCTGGCTGTTAGATCAACATGTCCCTTGGACATCTAAGATGCTGAGTGAACATCTTGATAGGACAGATTAGCACTGGGGGCTGTGACTCTGGGAGTTGAGTATGAGCAGACAACAGCAAAAGCAAAAGCTGGGTATGGACAGTGCAGAGAAGCATCTATAGTCCTGAGACAAGGCCTGCAGTACTTACAGGTGGGGAGGGCTAGCAACAGATTCCGAGGCAGCCAGAGAGACAGAAGAACTAGAGAGCATGGCTCTGCGGCCTGGATTTCGAAAGACAGCAAGTGCCTAGGCTAAGGGCTGCTTGCTGATGGCTAGTAGGAGCAGAAACTCGGCCTTCAGACATGACAGGCTGATGGTAACCTCGATTGGGGTGTTTCAAGGCAGCAGAGGGAAGGAAGGTGTCAGTGAGTAGTACAAGACAGAAAGAACTCACAGACCATGCAGGCCAACCACGCAAATAAACTACACTTTCAAGTCATGCAGCACTGGGCCCAGGACTTTAAAGGACTGTGGGAGGGCTAAGTGATCCAGAGGCCTGGATAAGGAGATGGAGAGACAATGTCAGGCTTGGGGGACCAGCTGGAAGTTGGACATGTAAGAAAAGAAAGTGTCCTGGAAGATCCCAAGGAACCTGCAGAGGACAGTTGGATAGAGACGGCAATCATCCATCATGTGGAGGAAATAAAAGGGCAATTCCAAGAAGTCACATAGGGATGCCTGTGGGAGCCTTCCATGGGGGCAGAGAGCAGGACGGCAGACAGCGAGGCAAGAGGTACACGGGAGGCCAAGGTTGGAGACAGGTTTCAAGGAAGGAGGGAGACAGTCAGAACAGAGGCAGAGCCCCACAGAGCCTGTATGGAGGGTCGCCTTCTCACTACAGTGCTGTCATTCCCGATCAGTTCCAACTTCCCTGACCATCAGACCACTGTGATGGATGGATCCACCACTAGACACAGAACGAAGGCCCACACTAATGGGTGCAATCTGAATGAAGGTAATTATTCCTTTAGAAAACAAAATTCAACACCACATGATGGTCACCTCTGAGGACTCCTCAAGGCTTTGAAGAGTTAAGAGACCACTTATGTCCTTTAGTAACAGGCCTCAGGAGAGTCTGGACATCCCAGGTACATCTATGCATGCCATGTTCCCCAAAGAAATGATATGGGAGGGATGGAGCTTGGTACATACTTGAGAACCTGGGCGACTGTGTTGGGCCCGTACCACTGGCCAATAGACTTGCCCTCGCCAACTCCCATTTGCGCTGCAGGAAACAGATCTGATTAGTGACACACACTTATCAACCACCACTATCCCTCCCCCACCTCTTAGAAAAGGCTGGTCCTGGAGGCATATGGCTGAGGAACACTTTATGGGAAGGCTGGACAAGCAAGCCCAAACCTGCCTCCAGCATAAGCTGATGGACACCAGTGTGCTTTATCCAAAACAGATAAATGTCTCAAGGTTTGTCCTTCACTATGAGCCAGGATTCCAGTCCTTCAATGAGGAGCAGGATTAAGGAGTAAAATGACCCCCTGAGTTTAGAGTTGTGTTTTTACTTCCTTCTACAATGATAGCATGATGCTCAGAAGTTGAACTTGCTTAAAACACAGGAGCATTTGGACTCTCTCACTGAATCTAATTTTCACAGATGCTGTGACGAGCAACCTAGCCCTGCAGTGGTGACAAGCTTCACGCCGTACACGCCACAATACAACAAAGCTCTTGAGAACCCCAAGACATGGGCACCCTGCTCCCACCCACCTATTTGGTGAATAGAGTAGTAACTGTCCTTCCTGTCGATGAATGCGTTGAGGACGTGGAAGTAGCTGTCCGGCTGCCTCTTCCGCTGTGTCCACCTCCAATCTAATGGAGACAGGTCCAGAAGTGAGTTTTACCAAAATGTGAGAAAGAAGCCTTTATGTTATGCAACACTGAAGACACAGATGGTATCCAAACCACTTTGAACCTTTCTAAGATTCCAAAAATGCCAACCCATTAACACAAATCCATACAGAAAACAATGGTTTCAGGGGTTTAAAGAGAATTCTGAAGACAAACATTTATCAGGATTCTTTAGTCATTTTTTAAAAATCAATGAAAATCAGTGGGTCATTACTGAAGAAGCCCCTGAATCCTCATCTGTGTTTACACAACTGCTCCCATAGTTCTTGCTTCCCCAGGTGACTCACCTCGGCCCAAGTGCCGGCACAGCAGGGCCTGCGCGAAGATCATCTGCCCACAGCGGAGCATGCAGCCCCAGCCCGTGTCCGAGGTGGGGCCGGTCCCCCCTGTGGTGGCGTAGAAAGAAGAGCCTCCAGTCAGGCCACTCTACACTGAAGGAGTCAGCACCATCTCGGCAACACACACAACCCAGAACGTGGTCATGCCGAGGACCCACTGCTGGGGAGTGAAATGTCCAACAACCCTCTCAAATGGGCAAAATATATGAACAAGTCTCAGAGGACAAATGTCTGGAAAACACGAGGATACACTGTGCCCATGAGTCATCAGTACCCAGTCAGTAGACAGTGGAGTAGGAAGGTGGTCGGTGCTGGGAGGGGACAGGTTTCAGAGTCAGCCCTGAAGACAAAGGTGCCATGGGCCCACCCACCTCCCGTATATTCACAGGTGCGCAGATTATGACATTGGGCACGTGGTATCACGTACAGTGAGACAGGCCCCGACATACAGGAAATGCCCTGATGTACTAACCATCAGTAAGGCCTGGGATGGCTGGCACTAAACAAGCAGACTCTGGAGCCAGACCATGTGGGCTGCAGTCTCACCTCTGAGCCGCATCAACCCTGCCAGGCACACAGGGACAAAGCCCACCTCTTGGGTGAGATCAGAGAAGGTACTCAGCATGGTACCTGTCTCTCCCCACTCCACCTCCTATACCACAAGCTATGTCAAGGGGCAAAGGGAGGAAACACCACACTGGCCTTCAGAAGTTGGCGACAGCCCAACTCCTCATCAACGACTGTGTCAAACAGCATAAGGCTCCTCTCTAGCCTGTCCTCTTTCCCTGTGTTCAGACATCTCATCTGCAGAACAGCACTGTCCACACAGCACGCCTCAATTGGCAAGTGGGCAACTGTACCTCCTGTAACCAGGGCCAAGCAAAACAGCCTCAGAGCAGGTGTGCAACCAGAACAGAGCGCACCTGACAAATCACATCATTAAGTATTAACCTGTGGGGACAATGGCCTCATTTCCCCACATTTCAGTGTCCCAATGTCAAGCACTGTGGCTATTTTACACCCACCTCACTTCTGAAGAACAGAAGAAACCACATATTGGAGATAAACCAAATCAAGACTAGGCATTGAGGAGGTGTAGCCTTCTGGCCCCGAACCTCTGGTCAAAGGTCTTCTGACTGGCAAAGGCCAGGCCAAGCTGGTCCCCAACTTTTGTCCGCCTCCAGAGCACAATGATGCAGAATAATTTTTAATGAAACATACTTTAATAGCATGGAAAAACCTGTCCCATCCACCCTGCTCTTCAGTTCTCCCACATCTATGTGTAGAACGTACTAGAGAAGATACTGGGTACAGAACAACCACCTCCAGCCACCCTGGACCTACAGCCCTGACCCAGAACAAGACTCAAATATATAATCTAACCACAGCCTCTACAGAATTCGCTCCTTTACAGTGCACTGTCTTGTCCATTTTCATTGCTGATTGGGACTCCTTATCCTGACTTTAAGCCCCAGTAACATATGGTAACTTACGGTTGGAAACCACTGTTGGAAGTCCTGGATTTGGAACCTAGTTCTGCCACAACTCGGGGCAAGACTCACCAGCTCACTATCCTCTAGTTGCCATGCGGATTAACACAAAGTGATAAGTACTAGGCATATCCAAGTCAACCTAATTATCAATCTGTTTTCCACCTTCTAAAATGTGCACATTGCATCACCACACATTGTGACAGGCAGTACTTACCAATGGCTGGGAAATTCTTCCTGTATGTAAACCAGAGTCTGGACGCCACATCAGATAAGATCTCGTCCTTTTCTAAAGAACGTTTAAAAGAAGAAAACACACGCACACGCAGAGGTGTAAGTACTAAGTCACAAGTTAGAGTTAGCAGATAACTATTATTACCACAAAAAGGATTTGGAGATTGAGCATTAAAAGCACAGTGGGCTCCAACACAGCACATACCTGTGAAGACGCTGTATTTTCTACCCAATATCCAAACAGGCTCCGAGGTCTCTGGGAAATCTTCAAACTCAGCAAATCGAAGAGTGTCATAGGTCAGAGTAGCTATTGAAACCAAAGGTACACAATAATCAGCTGTGTGGGGACATGTGGGGACGAGGCGGTGGGACCTGCCACCCCACTTCCTGAGCCTTTCAGATTCAAAGCCAGAGTCAGTGCCTGCAGAAAGGAGGGTAAGAGATCCACTGGGGGCCAGGCCCAGGGGAGAGAAGGTAAAAACAAAACAAAAACAAAGCCTCCTGGTCTAACATGTTAAGCGCCCAGTCACCGGTGACTGACACTAGACTTTCCATCCGAAAGAGAAAACAGGCTGAGTGCTTAATGTGTTAAACACTTGTTTAAGACTTAAAATGTTTAAAACCTAAAGGACAAAGGTAAAATGAAGCCACACATTTATCTTTGTGTGCAAGTGAGGCCAGACTGACAGACGGTAGAAAAAGCTTTCAGGGCCATCCCAGGCTCAGCAGACGTCGCCTGGAAGCACGTGCCTAGGAGCCATGTTGAAGGCAGATGCGCCAGGGACAATAAACCAGAGCCCTCCCAGATGACTGGAAGTTCTAGTCCACCGCAGGTTTCTTGGTGAGGAGCAGTTAGCTCTAGGGGAGCAGGCTGTAAACTCCTGGGTGGGACACTAGGCTCCAGAGAAGTGGAGAGAAAAGTCCCCTAAAGCCCCAGGTGCCAAGAGACCTGGAGATCAAGGCCTAGAGCCTACTTTCATTTTGACGATACCAGATGGGCACAACCACCAGCTTCCACCGGCAATGCCCCACTTCCTAAGGAGGTCACTGTGTGCAGAGCACGGTCTACCCACTGAACTTACAAGACCTGACCCCTTCTTATTCTGTGTTGCTTTCATAAGAAACAAGACAGGCCCAAGGTCCCTCCTGTCCACAGAACCATGGCTGAGGAAACGCTGCCTCCGCACAGGTCCCCATACCTGCAATGCCAGGTGTGCGCAGTGTACTCCGGGTGTCCCATCTTTGCAGCTGCTTTTCAGAGAACCCTGAACTCACAACTCTCACCTGCTGCCTCTCAAGCTCTCACAGGGCTCAGTCATCACATCCTTCACCTGCAACTTCACAGAAGTCTTTGGGAAATTAATGTTGAGTGAATTTCTCCTATATCTTTATTTTTTGACAATAGCTCCACCTTTTGGTAAAAATGACATATGCTATTTAAAAAAAATAAAAATAAAAAAATACTACAAAATCATCTGCAGGCATAGCCAGTGTGATTCAGTTGGTTGGGAGGGTCATTCCATACACCACCAGAAGGTGACAGGCTCAATTCTCAGTCCCAGGTTGCAGGTTCAGTCCCAGGTTGGGTATGTGTGGGAGGCAAGAGATCAATGTTTTTCTCTCTAAAATCAATTTTTTAAATGTAAAAAGAAAAAAGAAAAAAAAGAAGTAATCTGCAGCCTCACACCCAGAAATGACTGTTCTTCCAGAAGTCTTTCTGTAAAGACCCTTGAATGAGGCCACAGCACACCTGTGGCTTCCTCATCTTATTCTTCTCAACAAGACGGTCAGTACCCTGAGTCACAACTCCACCAGTGTCTTGTGTCTCACTGTTGAGGGGCCATAATGGACTCCCGCCTCCTATGAGTACACCCTTTAAAGCCATCACCTCAGGCATCTTTCTCTATTGTACACCACCCCCAGAGGGCTGGCTCTGGTGCCTACTGGCCAATCACAGGCTGCAGGTTCTGAGGGCATTTATGTGACCTCTCAGGGTGGAAATTTCCTCACCATAAGATGAGGAAGGGACCCTTCCCAGAAAGTGCTCAGGAGGCTCCAAGGTCGGCAGTGTCAACAGGAACAAGAACTGCAAGCTTGCCCAGCCGGTGTGGCTCAGTGGCGGAGCACTGACCTATGAACCAGGAGGTCACGATTCGATTCCCAGTCAGAGCACATGCCCAGGTTGCGGGCTCGATCCCCAGAAGGGGGCATGTGGGATGATTCTCTCTCATTACTGATGTTTCTCTCCTTTCCTCTCTGAAATCAATAATAATAAGAAGAAGAACTGTAGGCTCAAAGGCAAGCATTTTGCCACACTAGAACCTAAACCGATGAGCAGCTAAGTCCTCCCCACAGGGCCAGGAAAGCAGCACACTGAGCCATCAGATTCATAGCCACAGAAGGCTAGTGTGCATGACATAAAGAGTTCTCTGGCCCTATCCAGTTTGGCTCAGTGGATAGAGCGTTGGTCTGCAGATGGAAGGGTCCTGGGTTCAAGTCCAGTCAAGGGCAGGTACTTAGGTTGCAGGCTCCTCCCTAGCCCTGGCCCTGGTCTTTTCAAGGAACTGGAAACATCATGTCTCTGCTCTCTAACCCACCTCTGTACTTTAGCAACCACTGTCTTCTGTGACCTCCAGGCCTTTACCGGTATGTACACTCAAACCCAGTTTACTCTCAAGGAAAAAGGATGCCAAGACACCTGTCTGATTTCCATAGACTGTAATTCTCATCCTATTGGAGCTGGGACATTCTACTGATGTTTGAGGCCTCCCAGGGCAGCAGCAGTGAACTAAAGATGCTTGCACCTCCTAAAATGCTGGAGAACTCTAAACTTCAGGCAAGTAGCTCTACTGTGATGGTGGCACACGTGCAAGGACCATGATAACTATCGCTAAGTCTGTAGTATCACTCTAGACACTGAGACACTCCTCAGACACCTAGCTTCCCATATGAAGAAAGTGATGATAAGGAGGGAAAGGCTCATTTTGAAAGGGGGGTGACAAGGCCTGGGGCAGCTCTAAAGTTGAGGGGTTTCATCACTGTAGTAGCAAAATGCAAAGCAGGCACATTTCTTAGGTTTATGAGCAACTTTATAGGCAACGAAGCCAACTTCAGAGGGAGAGTACGAGAGGTGCTTTATTAAAACACACCCACCAAGTTTCCTACCATAACTAAGAAAATTATGGGTTGTGTGGCCTCACATTCTTTACTGCCAAATGCCAGGGAAGAGCCAAGACCTTTCAGGCAATAAACTACCAGGAGGCAACCCCAGCTCTCGCCAGCTAAGCAGGAGCCACTCAGCAACAGCACCCATATCTGTGGGGTCCCCTTGCACTTCACTGCTCTTCCTGACTATGCAAACACTCAGGCCTCTGTCCCCCCGCCCCCACAATTGAACATGTGTGTCACGTCTGCCTCTAGAGTTAGACATTCATGTATCTCATTGCATGTACTTTCCTCATGACAGGGACCATCAGGACAAAACCTGTGGATATGGTCCCCCAGTGCAGACAGAAGCATGGACACCTTAACCAGTCTTGTCACCCCCAAAAGTCAGTGACCTTCCTGTGCCTCAGCTGTTTTTCTCCCCAGTAAAATGAGTTCCTTAAGGCTCATGTGAGGAAAAACAAGTTAGTAAGAGTGAAAAGCTGTGACCTGTGCTGGGCAACAGTAAACACGTGGGCCCTCTGGGACTCCCCTGAAATGGATGAGACAGAGATGACAGCCTGTGACCAAACTGAGCTGCAACACCTCATACAATATAAGCAGGAAACCCACCCAACATGTGAATTATTTCACTATCACTGAATCTAGATAATCACAATCACTGAATCTAGATAATACACAATCCTCACACAGAAGGACAGGAGCAGAAGCCAGCTGTCTGTGCCACTGCACAAGCTCGTTCCAATATCTGCAAGCTTTCACTCTGGAAAACGAGTGTGAAGAGCCCCAGGACCAGCAGCAATTTCACCCAGAAAAGCAAGTGAAGCACTTCTCATCCTTGAGCAGCCACCAGAAAGTCTTAACTGGTGTTGATGGTGGCTCTGATTGTCTCACTTGCACTGGAAGATAGGACCAGCCTGTTCTGCCTGACACCTGAAATGCCACAGGTCGGGCACTCTGCACAAAAGAAGCACCTAGCCCCCCAAGCTCCTGGATCTTCTGAATCAGACTTTCTAATGGAAAAAGGAGAAATTTTCTAAGTAACATTTACTTCTAATGCTCAACTTCCTAATTTATATGAACATTTGCTTTGTTTTTGGTACTTAATACATTTTTATTGATTTCAGAGAGGAAGGGAGAGATAGAAACATCAATGATGAAAGAGAATCATTGATTGGCTGCCTCCTGCATGCCCCCTACTGGGGTTTGAGCCTACAACCCAGGCACATGCCCTTGACCAGAAGCCACAGGCTGACACTCTATCCACTGAGTCAAATCCGCTAGGGCTAAAGATTTGTTTTTGAAGAGGACCAGACAACTTGCTAGCTATGGGACACATAACTTCTCTAAGCCTCCGTCTCCTTGGCCATGAAATGAGACAAAGCCGTCAACTCAGTGGGGACAACACAGACGGGTGCACAGCCCCCAGCAATGGTTTTGAGCACCTCCATTTCTACTGTATTATTTCAGGACTCATGATGACTCTGCTTTCAGACAGGCCAGCAGCCACCTGCCTCCCTGAGATGGCCCCCTCATCTCAATTCTCAGCGGCATTATGTCACCTGTCTTTCTGCACAATGTCATATTATTATTATTTTTTAAAATATATTTTTATTGATTTTTTACAGAGAGGAAGGGAGAGAGATAGAGAGCCAGAAACATCGATGAAAGAGAAACATCGACCAGCTGCCTCTTGCACACCCCCCATCCGGGATGTGCCCGCAACCAATGTACATGCCCCTGACCGGAATCGAACCCGGGACCTTTCAGTCCGCAGACCGACGCGCTACCACTGAGCCAAACCAGTTTCGGCCAATGTCATATTATTTATGAAGCAGTCCCATACCTCCCAAGTTAAAAGGACTCCCACCTCGAAAAGAAAAGCCGGTCTCCAGACTTCCCCGTTTTGACTTTAATGTGAAGTAAGATGGCTTACAGGAGAAGCCAGATGGAGAGGCATCGTCCACCTTATGAAAGAGGCCCTTTGAAAAGGACTTTCCCCAGGTGGTCACCTGGGACCCAGACGCCTGATTTTCCACATCTTCCCTGGGATATCCCTGAGCACACCCGTAACAGGATGCAGAAAGCCCTTTAATAACATGGTATTATAATTCCATGTGAAAAAAGCTTCAATTTAATATTATTAATCTTATAGAAAAATAGGAAATTGTGCTCAAGGAATATAACTAACTTCCGCACTTAGCACCAATCATATTCAGATTCAATCAGGGAAAACCACAAGACATTTCACCATTAGATTTCTTTGACAGCTTATCAGGTTTCAATATTTCCCCAAAATACTGATGTATTCTGAAAGATTCTCCTTTATAAATAAAATCAAGTGAAGGGGAGTATGTTTGCAAGTATTTTTAAAAATATATATTTTATTGATTTTTTACAGAGAGGAAGGGAGAGGGATAGAAACTTAGAAACATCGATAAGAGAGTAACATCGATCAGCTGCCTCCTGCACACCCCCCACTGGGAATGTGCCCGCAACCCAGGTACATGCCCTTGATCGGAATCTAACCTGGGACCCTTGAGTCCGCAGGCCGACGTTCTATCCATTAAGCCAAAATGATCTCGGCAGTATTTTTTTTTAATCCGAAATACTTTATATGAAGATGCTGGTGGTTCAGTTCTGAATGAAATGATGAAGGGAGGGAGGGCTTAGAAGGGAGGGAAGGAAGAGAAGGAATGGAAGGGAAGGGATGGGACAGAACTGGGAACTTATCACCACCAGAAAACTGGAAAGCACTGCTTCAGTGAACACAGGGGACAGAATGTCCACATTAACCTCACTTGCCCTGCGGGAGCAGTCCTCTCACTCAGACACCTTACACCAACAGACTGGACCTGTACTATACACAAGCTCTACAACTGAAATTCTTCTTTAAAAAAAAAAAATGCAGCTTAATTTTTTTGTCCTTTAACTAAAACTGAGTGTGGGATTTTTAAAAATATATATTTTATTGATTTTTTACAGAGAGGAGGAGAGAAGGATAGAGAGTTAGAAACATCGATGAGAGAGAAACATCAATCAGCTGCTGGGGTTGTGCCTACAACCCTTCAGTCCACAGGCCGATGCTCTATCCACTGAGCCAAACCAGTTTCGTCTACAAATGAAATTCTTAAAGCACAGGAATGTGCACATTGTTAATTCAAGTTGTTCTTCAATTACCAGTCATGTACATGCCAGACACAATATAAAGCCCTGGAGATGCAAGTATAAGAGTGCTCTGTCTTCATAGAATGGACAGTGCAGCCATTTAGTATGTTTTTGTTTTTTTAAAACTGATTTCAGAGAGAGGAAGGGAGAGAGAGAGACGGAAACATCAAAGATAAGAATCAATGATCAGCTTTCTCCTGCACACCCCCTATTGGGGATGGAGCCTGCAATCCTGGCATGTGCCCTGACCAGGATTCGAATTGTGACCTCCTAACTCATGGGTTGACACTCAACTACGGAGCCACACCAGCCAGGCCAGTGTGGCCATTTAAATGCTGGGCCTGGCAGTTCCCTGAACCAGGAGTGTTTCGATGGTCAGTGCTGGAGGTCAGTGAAGAAGACAGTCAGCCTGGTACCTTCTGGACTCTAAGCACCCGCAGTCCTGGGCCGACCCCTCCGTGGCTCCTCCTCTTTTCACCCACACTCAAACCCTCAGTGACCTCAGAGGGGCCTTCCACACACCTGTGCCTCTAGATCAGGTCTACTGCCTCAGCTCTAGGCCCATGGATCCAATGTTCCCCAGACATCACAATATAAATGTCTGATGGTATCTCATGTACATGTCAACATGTACAACACTGACTCCCAAGCGTTCCCTACCAGGCAGGATATCCCCAAGTGTTCCCCATCTAGTTTCTGAGCTCAGGCCATACATACTGCGTCACCATCTTAACTCCTTCCTCTCCATCTCCACCGCCAACTACTGCCTATCTGTACACAGCCCTTACCGTTTCAACCTTCAATACACCAGAATTTAGCCTCCTCTCCTGACGCTGACCCAGACTCCCAGGTCTCTCGCCTGGCTTACTGAGAGAGCCTTCTAACTGGTCTCCTGTTGCAGCTCTGTCCCTCTGCAGCATAGTCTCAACAGAGCAGCCAGAGTGAATCTGCTCCAGTCTGGTTACTCCTCTCAAACCCTCCAGAGCGTCACCATATCCTTCAGGATAAGCATATGCCCAAGTCCTCACCATGACCCAGCGAGGCCCCATGCTTGAACCCAAGTCACCTCTCTGCCTCCAGCTTCTGGTTCTCTTAGCCAACTCACTGTATACCCTGGACACACTGGCCTACGTGCTGCTCCTTGCATGCCACCTGCCCTTCCTTCTCCACTGCTTCTGGGTCTTGGTCAAACTTACCTCTGCAGTGAGACCTTCCCTGGCCATCCTGGCTCCAACTCCAACCCCCCTGCTTGGCCCACATCACTCTTCCACATGACCCATGCCACTGGTGTCACGTCTGGAATGTGAGGAGAGCATGGTTATCATCTATTTGATTCACTTCTCTAATCCCAGGGTCCAGAACAATGCCCAACACAAACCTTCTGCACAATAATAAATGTGGTTTACTGAATGTTATGACTGTGAAAACAAGTAGGAATCCCAGAACACTTGATAAAGGAAGGCAGACTCTGTAAGGACAGAAGGATCAGGGGAAGGTGGGCCATTAATCACCCCTAAAAGGATGTAAGCGTCAGGTCAGAAGAAAACTCCCACCACACCCTACAACCGTCACATACGTTTTTATCAGCATCAACACAGGCCTTCAAAGGCAAACACTTTGCCAGCTTTGAAGCAGCCTTGAGTTTTTCATTAGGGTATCATCACGTGCCTACTCCTAACTTTATAATTTAAAAAAAAAAATCCTCACTAGAGGATATGTTTATTGATTTCAGAGAGATAGGAAGGGAGGGAGAGAAACATTGATGAGAGAGAAACACTGACCACTTGCCCTCCCTCCCCTGCACTTGCCCTAATGGGGGATCAAAACTTTTTTTTTTTTTTGTATATGGGACAATGCTCCAAGCAATTGATATACACCGGCCAGGATGGCTACTCCCAACTTTAACATGATGGTTTTCACATTTTAGGTAATATGACCATTAACTGTTTTCCACCTAAACCAACTCTCTCATATGACTGACTGCTCCATATGTAAATATGGAGCAGTACTAACTTAAAGTAGACAAGTAATTCTATTCCTTCTCTACCCCTTGCCGCAGCTAATAGCACAACAGTGTCCGGTACCTTTTTGTTTGTAATGAACTTGGCAAAAAATGTGTGGCTAACAGGCTCCTTTGGGAGTCAGGGCTACTGTTTCCTCCAGCCACCCAGCATTTAAGTGAGGAAATGCCACAAATCATTGAAATACTGGCAGTTTCCAAACGGAGACTTCAGTAAATATATGTTATAGCTGCCAGGAAAAGAAAAACGAAGCAGAGACAATGGGATAGGAGGAATCAACCCAGATGAAAGTCTTCCTTTATTGGGGGCGAGGGGTAGCATTCCCTACAGAAGTGAAAGAATTAAAACTGTGGAATGAAAAAGAGCGTCCAGGTAAAAATGCTTTCAAGGCTACTGGACAACGATACAAAAAAAAAAAATGCCTTGTCAGAAAAATTTAAGCTGCAGAAGCACCGTGGGCTAGGCGGGTGTACATACACCCTTCCACCCCACTTTGCCCTAGGCCCCCAAGAAGTTATGCTATAAAAGATGACTTCAGTTTCTATTTTAAATCACAGAAAAAGTAATCTGTTGGTTACTTTAAAAATTAAAAACCCAAACAAGGTGTCCGTGCTGTGAGTGTTGAGCATGTTTCTTGCCTCCAGCCCACCAACATAACTTTACAGAAGTTAAACAGTTTCCACTTCGTTAACTCCTAGGAGGGCAGAGGCAAGAGCTTCCCACGACCGCCGTTTCAGGACCAAACACCGCCCAAGCCCCTAGCGATGCCCGACCCCTCCCTCCCGCCCCGGGCGCCGCACTGCCCCTTCTCGTCCGAGCCGGCCCAGGGCCTGCCAGGCCGGTCACCGGGTGCTGCAGGCAGATTGGAGAAGCGCCGAGACCCGCAAACACCGGACTGTCAGATCCCAGCCGGCCTTCCCACAGACGACGCCCCGCCCGCTCCTCCCGGGGCCGCACCCCGCCCACCCGCCTCCGCGCGCCCAGGCCGCGCCGGGAGACTCCCCAGCAGCCGAGGGGCCAGGAGAGCGCCGTGCGCGGGTCCCCAACGCCCCAGCAGGTTCTTACCTGCGTCCATCTTCCTTCTCCGGCCGCCGACTGAACACCGCGTCGGTCCTACGGGTCCGCAGCCCGACGCGACGGGCCGCCGCCGGGGCCAATCCGGGGCGCGGGCGGAGCCGGAAGTGCGGGCGGATGTGCATTGGTTGCCATCTTGACGTACGGAGGAGTCAAGCACGGAGGTTCCTACTCGTGCGCTCCGCACCCCGACGGCCTTCGGCGTGCTCTCCGTGGAGCCCAGCAACGACCCACCGGGGCGGTGGAAGCTGGCGCAGGTGGGCAAAAAGTCCTCGGGGCGAGCTTGACAGCCCGCCGTGCGCCCGCACCCGCAGGCGCGGCCATCTTGCCGTACGGACGGGTCGGCGTGCCATGTCGCTGTACGGACCGCCGGCCCGGGTGCCCCTGCTAACCCCCAAAGCCTCGAAACGCGGGCAGAGCCACTCTGGGTGCTTGAGACTCTGGGTGCCTGAGACCCTGGGCGTGCCGACGGCCGGCGGCGGGGAGGTGGGCGCCGCCATCTTGCCGTACGGCGCCGCGGGGGCTGGCTCCCACGTCCCGCAGCCGTGTCGCCGCGCGCCTCCCCTCGGGGCGGTCCCGCTCCGGGCTCGGCGCGACGAGGCGAGGGCCGGAGCCTGGTGGCGGCGCGGCGGCCCGAGGCCCGAGATGGTGATCTGCTGCGCGGCCGCGAACTGCTCCAACCGGCAGGGCAAAGGGGAGAAGCGCTCCGTCTCTTTCCACAGGTAACCGCGCCCGACCCACCGCCCGCTCGGCTTGACCACGCCCCCGCCGGGCCCGGCTCGGCACCGGGGAAACTGAGGCCGTGGGGCCCGGCGCGAGCGAGGGGCACTCTCCGCGCCAGGCCTCGGGGCCGCTCCTGCGAGTGAGTCAGCGCCGGGCGCTGTGTGACCTTGGCCGGGGCCGCCGTCTCTGGGCCGGGCACCGCGGCCAGCGGCGCCCATCCCACGGCCAGCAGCGCCCTCCGGGAACCACCCCGCGGCCAGCGGCGCCCATCCCTCGCGCACCCTAAGGCCACTTGAAGGCCATCCCACGACCCCCTGGCGACCCCCTCGCGGCCTCACCTCCCTCGCCCCCACCCCTGCGGCCGCCGCGCTCCATTGATTCGAGTTGGCGCCGCGGGTTTCCAGAAGCCGTGTATTCTGGCAACCTCTTCCTTAGGTCAGTTGCCCTCTCCATTGGCTGTGACTTGTCCCTGTTTTATCGCGGCGGAGGCTGCCTTGATCTCTGCCATCGGGAGTGTGGCGAAGCAAATGCGTCTCATACCTCGTGTATTAACACGCGCTCCAGGCGCTCTGTTGCTGGAAGGGTCCCCAGTGCTGGGTACAGGAAGGTAGCTGTGCCCCAGCGGTAAGGTGAGTCCCTGGAGGTGCCCGACAGCCTCCTGCCCTGGAGTGGGTGGCACTTCCCTGCCGGCTTCCCCCAGGGGCTGCAAAGGGGCTGTCGGCCCTGGGCCCCTGCTGTGGGCCCTGCCGGGCAAGGGTCTCACCGTCTTCCCTTCAGGAGGCCTCTGAAGCCCACGTAGGCATAGTGGGCCTCACACAGTGAGCTGAAGGGGTAGGCTTGTTGTATGCTGCAGGACATTAGTATTTAATTTTTAAAGCCGGAGTGACACTTGTTACTTATACTCTTACTGAAAGCTGCTGTGATATACTAAATTTTAAGTGATTACAATTTATCAAAAGTAATGTTGGATTTTTTAGAGCAGCCACCATGCTTTCCTCAGTTTCCTTCGTAGTAGCCTCTAGTCCCAAAAGTTTTGTTACCCTTTTGAAAAAAAAGCCCTTGCAGAGAAGGCTGCCCTTGGCATTCATGATGGTCTAACGTGGGGTGGGGGCATAGGGCATGAGAACTGAGGACCTTTGGGAAGTTTAGGAGGTCATGTCGAGGATAATTTCTTTAAGTTTGAGATTCTAACCCTGTCCTTGTCCACAGTGGCTCAGGTGTGTTGCATGACCTTAGAGGGAGCAAATGGCCTCATGTGCACATTTTGGCCAGAGTTTTCTAAGTAGATCTTGGATTGATGAGATGTGGTCATTCAGTGTCTTATTCAGCATCCTCCAGGGATGGGAGTGTAGTAGGAACACAGAACTACACCTTTGAGTCTGACGTTCTCTGAGAGCTCATCTCCCATCCTCAGCTGCTTGAATCAGTCCTGGGCTTCTGGGATGCTCTGCTGGTCTCTGGCTCCCATCTCCGCTGGCCCACAGCTGGTCTGGCTTCTAAGTGGGTGACCAACCATCCCACTCTTAGCACCCAAAGTTCTGCATCCTAGGCACACTGGCTGGGTTGCTGAGCCATGACTTTCTAGGAATTATTTCCAGGGCTTTCTGGAGCTTTTCCTGTTGTCTGTATGATATCCTAAGCTTTTCCTAACATTCTGGTAGGAGTTACCTGCTTTCATTCTTATGTGCCCTGCAACTATAAGCTCCTTCAGAGTAAACAACGGATCTTCCATCTTCCCATTCCAGTAGTAATGTGTAAGTAGAATGTGTTCCTTAAGTATAGTTCATATAGGTTTGGGTGTTTTCAAAAATACTTGTTTTGCTTTTATAGTTGATCATTTTAGGTGGAGACATGTAATTCTTTCTTTCTAATTTCTTTGCCATTTGTCCTGTAGGTTCCCCCTGAAGGATTCAAAGCGTCTGATCCAGTGGTTAAAAGCTGTTCAGAGGGACAACTGGACCCCTACTAAGTATTCTTTCCTCTGTAGTGAGCATTTCACCAAAGACAGCTTCTCCAAAAGGCTGGAGGATCAGCACCGCCTGCTCAAGCCCACGGCCGTGCCCTCCATCTTCCACCTGCCAGAGAAGAAGAGGGGGTCTGGAGGCCGTGGCCGCAGCAAGAGAAAGGACACCAAGAAGGCCTCAGGGGGCCTGAGGGGACGGGCAAGTGAAGCTGATGGGAAAGGGGATGCCGGTTCACCATCACCCTCAAGTGAGAACCTGATAGTTAAGCCAGAGTCCCTCAAGTTGAAGCGGATTTCCCTGAAAAGTGAAGCCACCAGTGAGGAGCAGGCTACGCAGGGCGCCCCAGCTGATGCTCTGGCCACAAAAGCCTCAGGCAGCCAGGCTGAAGCAAATGGGCCTGCGGGCGATGCTGTTGATGAGAGCAGCATCACCCCCGACAAGGACCTGGTGGATAAGAGTGGCATCTCCATGGATGACTTTACCCCCCCAGGATCTGGGGCCTGCAAATTCATTGGCTCGCTTCACTCTTACAGTTTCTCCTCAAGGCACACCCGAGAGAGGCCATATGGCCCCCGGGAGCCCGTGGACCGGAAGAGGCCGAAGAGAGACACGGAGCCTGGCTGCAGTGGGACCAGCCTGGGGCAGAGCCCCCCAAGTTCATCTCTGACTGCGACACCACAGAAGTCCTCCCAGAGTCCCTCTGCCCCTCCGACAGACGTCACCCCAAAGCCAGCCACTGAGGCTGTGCAGAGCGAGCACAGTGACGCCAGCCCCATGTCCATCAACGAGGTTATTCTGTCAGCTTCAGGTGCCTGCAAGCTCATCGACTCGCTGCACTCCTACTGCTTCTCTGCGCGGCAGAACCGGAGCCGGGCTTGCTGCCTTTGGAAGCAGGTGGAAAAGAAGAACGGTGAGCTCAGGAGTCTACGCCAGCGTGTCAGCCGCTCCGACAGCCAGGTGCGCAAACTGCAAGAGAAGCTGGACAAACTGCAGAGAGGAAGCATGCTGAGCCTGAGCAGCCTGCCAGCACCCGGCCGCGGTCAGTACCCACCTCAGGCTCCCACTGCTCCGATGAGGCGGTGGTAGTAGTTGGACCTGGTAGACAGGGGCTCAGATGGGGAAGCTCATCTCCAGCAGCCGGGAGCCCGCTAGTTGTGAGGTCAGCTACTCAGGGAATGGGGTCCCAACACCTGGTTTTCACCTTGCCTGGGGTAATGTGAACATCTACAGCATACCTCACACAAATTGCAAATGGGTTAGGATCTAAACGTAAAATCAAATAGATGTAGAAAATTTATTAGAGGGGTTCTTTTCATTCACGTTTCCATGAATATCCTTAAGGTTAAATAGTTTTGAACATTAATAATAACAATAAGGCCCTATCCGGTTTGGCTCAGTGGATAGAGCATCGGCCTGCAGACTGAAGGGTCCCAGGTTTGATTCCGGTCAAGGGCACGTACCTTGGTTGTGGGCACATCCCCAGTAGGGGTTGTGCAGGAGGCAGCTGATCGATGTTTCTCTCTCATCGATGTTTCTAACTATCCCTCTCCCTTCCTCTCTGTAAAAGTCAATAAAATAGATTTTAAAAAAATAATAAGATTTTTAAACATCTCTTCAAGTAGAATAGATTGTCTTCTGTAGAAATTAAAACACTACAGAAAAATACAGGTTAAGAAATGGTGAAAATTCCTTCCCCACCTCCCAGCTTTTATCCCTGTTGCTGTTAAAATTTGTGTGATCTTTTAGATTACTTTCTCTGCTTTATCCTACATATCTTGGTACCTATACAAATAGGTTGAGTATATTTTTTATATGTCTATTGGCTATGTTTCTGCTTTCCCCTCTATTTTACTGTTTAGAATATATAAAAGTTGGTTTGTAGATTTTTTTTTACATATTGGAGATAGGATATTTTGCCTGTTATAGATACATGAAAATATCCTGCTACATGGTTCATTTAATTTGGATCAGAGTTTATCTTCAGAGATGTAATTAACACTTCAGGAGATTCTTGTGTGACAGGCTGTTCAGAACTTCCTGGACCCCCAGGACATCAGCCACTATCAAAACAAAAAACAAGCAAAAACTAAAACCTTTCCTTTGTGTTTCCAAGTGCACCTGGGGGAGGAGCAGCTCATGTGAGGACCATGATGTGCTGCTCAGAGTGACTGTATTCTCTTGTCATTTTTAAGCTGTTTTTTTTATTGTTTCTTAATGTTGCTTTTTGGTTACTTTTTCTGTTGATCTTGGTCAAATGTCCCAAAGTTTGTCCAGTAGGTCTTTCCAAACAGCCAGCCCTCAACTCCATTGATCAAGTCTGCCTTGTTGTTTCTGCCTCATTAATCCTCACTTTTTCTACTTTCTTCAGTTTCATTTTGTCTTCAGTTTCACTTTGTGGTGGTTCTGGTTCCTGGACTTATTCTTGTACATGTATATTTCCTGA